GACTTGATGATGTGGACTTGATTCTGGATTATGGACTTGATTCTGGTTGATTGTGGACTTGATTCTGGTTGACTGTGGACTTGATTCTGGTTGACCTGGTTGATTGTGGACTTGGTTGACTGTCTTGATTCTGGTTTGTGGACTTGATTCTGGTTTGTGGACTAGTTTCTGTATAATTATGGACTTGATTCTGGTTGATTGATGATTGTGGACTTGATTCTGATTGATTGTGGACTTGATTCTGATTGATTGTGGACTTGATTCTGGTTGACTGTGGACTTGATTCTGGTTGATTATGGACTTGATTCTGGTTGACTGTGGACTTGATTCTGGTTGATTGTGGACTTGATTCTGATAGATTGTGGACTTGATTCTGGCTGATTATGGACTTGATTCTGGTTGACTGTGGACTTGATTCTGGTTGATTATGGACTTGATTCTGGTTGACTGTGGACGATTCTGACTGTGGACTTGATTCTGATTGATTGTGGACTTGATTCTGATTGATTGTGGACTTGATTCTGGCTGATTATGGACTTGATTCTGGTTGATTGTGGACTTGATTCTGTTGACTGTGACTTGATTCTGGTTGACTGTGACTTGATTCTGGTTGATTGTGGACTTGATTCTGATAGATTTGTGACTTGATTCTGGCTGATTATGGACTTGATTTTGCTGACTGTGGCCTTGATTCTGGTTGACTGTGGTCTTGATTCTGGTTGATTGTGGACTTGATTCTGGTTGACTGTGGACTTGATTCTGATTGATTGTGGACTTGATTCTGGTGATTGTGGACTTGTTCTGGTGACTGTGGACTTGATTCTTGATTGTGGACTGATTCTGGTTGATTATAGATTTGATTCTTGTTGACTGTGGACTTGATTTGATTGATTGGACTTGATTCTGGTTGACTGTGGACTTGATTCTGGCTGATTATGGACTTGATTCTGGTTGACTGTGGACTTGATTCTGGTTGATTGTGGACTTGATTCTGATTGATTGTGGACTTGATTCTGGTTGACTGTGGACTTGATTCTGGTTGATTGTGACTTGATTCTGGCTGATTATGGACTTGATTCTGGCTGATTATGGACTTGATTCTGGTTGATTGTTGACTTGATTCTGGTTGATTGTTATGCTCATGTAATTAATGATCTAATCCGTATCACTATCGTAATGGTGATGTTCATAATAGGGAAGATAACAAAATTATTCAACAAGAAGATCAATTCATTATGATATGACGATGGTGATAGTAAGATTATCATTATTATTATCATTATTATTTTACACTAACATAATCCTGATGATAATGATAATTATAAGGGTAATAATAGCAATGATAATGATATTAATAGTAATAATAATACTAACTTAATAACAATGATAATGATATTAATAGTAATAATAATACTAACTTAATAACAATGATAATAATGATGATGATAATATAATGATAATAATGATAATAATATGATAATAATGATTATGATAATGATACTGATGATAATGACGATGAAAATAATAATTGATATTTTCATTGATTATTACTATTGTTATTATAATTGGTATTAGTATAATTACTATTATCATTATTATTATTGCTATTATCATTATTATCTTTATTATTTTTATCATTACTATTATTTTTATTATTTTTTATCATTATTCTATTACTATTATATGTATCATTATCATCGTCATCATTATTATCATCCTTATCGTTATTATCATTAATTATTGTTTTCATTATAATCATTATTATCATTTCAAATATCATTAATATTACTATCATTATCATTATCACTATTATCACAATTAGTATTATTATTATCATCTTTTTCATTGTCATCAATGTTATCATCATGATTATGGTTAGAATAATATTAATTATTATCATTATTATTAGTATTATCACTTTTATTCTTTTTTGTATTCGCATTATTATTATTATGATCATCGTTTTTGTTTTTAATCTTATTATCATCAATATAATTATTATCATTACTATTGTTATTGTTATTATTATCATTATCAAAATTACTGTTATTATCATCATTACTATTATTATTATCATTATTATTATAATTATTATTACCATCATTATCATTACCATTATTATTGTTATCATTATGATTATTATCATTGTTATCATCATCCATATTACTATCACCGTTAGCACTGTCATAATTATCATTACGAGGATCATTTTCATTGTTATCAGTACAATAAGAATAGTTACAGCAATAACAAAGACAATAATGATGATAACAATAGCAATAACAGTACAACTAATTGCAATGATAAAGTTGCACAGGCATACACGCCAACATATCGATGAATTCACGAGGAGACAAAGCCAGCGAAGGAGCCATTGTTCAACCTCATACGAACCGCCTGTCAGCGCCTTCCTCCTTTCGCCCGCAAAGGAGGCCTGCGAGATCGATCCGCGTGCTCCTCGCGCGCTTGCAGTTCTTGCAGTCTGCGGCTCTTCGTCCATCGCTGAGGAGGTTGGAGCTCTTCCGTTCTTCCCTCCACCCGTGTGCCAGCTCGACAGGCTGAACGATGAAGCCAAATGGGGTGTTCGGGGAGGGCTTCGCGCCCGACAAGGCCCTGGTGCGGAGCCTGAAGGTCCTGCGCGTCCTGGGCGTCTTGCCCTACACTTGGCCGGACTCTCTGGGTCTCGCGTCTCGTCCGGAGGGGGGGCGAGGGCCCGCGAGGGCCGCCGCCGCGTCGAGAGCCCCGAGGGACGGACGAGGACAGGGCGAAGGAGGGGGCGCTTGGAAGCCTCCCACACGAGGGGAGGAGGAGCCCTTGCTTCTCGTCAAGTCAAAATGGCTGACGCTCTGGTCGCAGGCTTTCTTCGTGGCTCTGGTCTCTGTCTCTGCCATCTCCATCTTTTATGACGTACAAATACATATTAATGATAATGAAACTACAATGCGAAGCACCACACAAACCGCGATCGCCATAAACATTGTGGCAGTCGCCTTGGTGTTTTCGAACTTCGTTGTGAGTTGGTCGGCTTTAGCGAGCCTGATCACGCGGCTCGTCCTCTTGCTAAGAAGGGTTTCTGTCCCTCTCAAGACGTTTTCGAGAAACGGTTTGCGTTGTGGACTGGTGCTTTATCTAATCAACTTTTCCATACATTTCTACTCATTGGTGGAGGCTGTAAAGGTATCTGACCAATCCAGTACGATCTACTTCTTCGGTTACTTCTTCGTGATACACATCCTCGACAGCGCCGTCCTTGCCCTCATCGTTCTGTTTCACTCCGTGTGCTCCTCGATGTCCGACCTGTACAAAAACGTGCTGGGAGTCGGTCCCGACAGCCTGCGGGAGACCTTTCTGGCCACCGTGGGCAGCGAGAGTGAATGCCCCGACGGGGCCGTGCACAGTCACTCGCGCCTTCGTCTCCTTCGGCAGCAGTTGGACGCCGACAAAACCTCCTTCGCCGCACGATTGATCTTCGACGTACACGAGCTTCAGAAAGCGTTCAACGACTACATTGCCGTGCCGGTGGCTCTCATCCTGCTCAGAGCCATGCTGCATCTCACAATGGCCATCTTCTATTTGATGTCTACGGGCACCGAGTTTGCCTTCGAGCTGTCCTTTATCTGTCTGAAGGAAACCACGAACATTATCCTCCTGTGTTGTTCCCCGGAGTTGGTAAAGGAGGAGGTAGACAATTCCGACTCGTAGACGCACTTTTGTTGTTGACGTTAGCCCTAAACCTTTTCCAAGGCCCAGAGGGAACACTGTCACATAAAGTGATAATGAGTTGGCTCCGACATTTGACGATAAATAACATTCTAACTTGCTTTTCTGCCGCCAGAGGGAATCGTTGCGCCACACACTTCTCACACTGCGGCTCCTGGTCACCGACGAAGCTGTGAATGAGAAGGTAAAATAATCGAAGCTTTTTCCAAACAATATTCCTTTTCGTATACTTGTCACCGCAAAGCTATACGCAAAGAGATATAAGTAGACGCAAAGCATAGGAAAGAATATTGTTTAACAGTTAAGACTTAGTATGTCCTCTTCTCCTTCATGATCTCAGTGAAGTGCCACGGATCACCACGTGACAGCATGCAATATAGTTCATGGATCCATTCGACATCAGATGCACTAGTGCAATGATATATGTCCTCGAAAACAAGAGAAAAGCTGAATCCGTGTCCTTCTCATGTCCTCATGTCCATTTCATGTCCTTCCCGTATCCTTCTCATGTCCATGTCCATCTCATGTCCTTCCCGTATCCTTCTCATGTCCTCATGTCCATTTCATGTCCTTCCCGTATCCTTTTCATGTCCTTTCCGTGTCTTTCTCATGGCCAGCTGGGGCGGCTGCTGGAGCTGATGTCGGCCTACCCGGACTTCCAGCTGGGGCGCCTCTTCGTCCTCGCCAAGGCCAGGCTCGTCAACGTGAGTGCCAACGGATAAAAGTCAGTCACAGAAGATGGCTCAGCAGAGTTGGAGGCCATGGTCTATATAAGTATATAGACCGTGTTAGAGGCTGGCGAGTCAACAAGGGCGCAAGGCAGCTGGATGGCAGGGGGAAAGGGAGAGGTTATCGTGAGGGGAGAATTACTGGTAGTGGGTGTGGGAGAGGAGGGTATGGAGGAAAGGGTATTTGTTTCTTCCTTTCTTGGGTGGGGGTAGAGGGGGGAGGGGGGTCGGTTCTTGTGTAACCGATGTCTTCTCTGCTTATTCTTGCCCTATGATTTTATTTATGTCCATCCACAGATCATACCGATCAGCAAGTCGATTTCATTGTCTATCAGATTATGACCTGTCTAGGAAGGCCCATTACAGGTCTGTGTTTCTTAGTCTGTACTCTTCTGGAAAAAAAAAAAAAAAAAAGTTGTAGAAATACCAGTCTGTTAGTGAGAGGGGGTAGTTGCAGTTCTTACGAACACCGTTTTGTGATTACCGACGCACTGATCAATCATTTGTGCACGATAATGTTTGTCATCCGTTTGGTGTCCTGTGTCGTGTTCTTAGGTTTCAGGAGTTGGACAAATTGATAACAATGCTGTGGACTTGTTCGATTTCAGCCGGCCTGTAGTATTTTCTGATTTGATCACGGATGACCTACCTTGCCCCAAGACTTTTTTTGTTGCAGTAAAACACAAAATTGTGTTGAGCAAAAAGAGAGAGATAGGGAAAGAAATAATAGACAGTTAAACGGAGAAATAGACGCATTAAAAGATACGTGGAGGGAGAGATGGATGGATAACTGGATAGAAAGAGGAAGAGAAAGAGAGATAGATGGTAGACTGCTATACGGAGAGATAGATGGATAGGATTGGGGCGCCTCTTCGGTCTCTCCCAGTGACAAGGGCTAGGTAGATGGATGGGGAGATAGATAATTGGTGAGTAGGTAGATGGAAAGGCAGGTACAAGATGGATAGATAGAGAGACGTGTAGAATGCTGATAGACGGATGGATGGGAGACATAGAGAAACAGAGATATGGAGAGACAAAAAAAAAAAAAAAAAAAAAAAATCAAGATAGATTAAAGATTACGTGAAGGGAGAGATAGCCAGATGGATAGACTGCGTGCCAAGGACTAGGTAGATGGATCGGGAAATAGATAGATAATGGATAGATAAACAGGGGCGTGAGATCCAAGAGAGACTTCCGAGTGATAGATAAATTTATGGAGAGATAGATAGATCGACAGAAGGATAAATAATGGGAATGAGAGATAGATCAATGCATTGTAGAAAAGGTACGAATGAGAATGAATATCTTCACAATGCAAAAGATATCTCTTGTGAAGATATTTATTCTCATTCTACATTTGGCAACGTGAATACGGTTCATTAGTGGACAGATAGATAGATGGTCTCCAGAGCCAAGGTTAAACGCGTTAGGAATAGATAGGCATAGAGAAAAACAGATAGATAGTGCTTTTTTTTTGTTTTTTTTTTTTTACTTTTCCTTCCTTGTTGAGCACGAAGACAATATAACTTCAACGTATATCATTAATCTTATCTATTATATAACACAGAACATAATAACAGCATTGAACGAGACATGATATAATATATCTTACCTTAATCAAATATTTTTTTTTTTTTAATAACAACCTAATTATCTTGTTCCTCTCACCAGATTGCAGGATTTGTTGCAACATACACAGCGATCCTCCTGCAATTTCGGCTGAGCGACTCGTGAGAAAAAACACGTTCTGATTATCCCAATCACCACAGAATTATGTATTGTCAAACTGTAGTTTTTTGTGTGAATTTTGTTCCTTACCAAGCCAAACCTGACCAAGCCAAACCAAACCAAAAGTGACCAAACCAAACCAAACCATACCATTCCAAATCTAACCACGCCAAACCTAAAACTAACCATAGCAAACCAAATCTAACCAAGCCAAACCAAACCTAAACCTAACCTGACCAAACCAAACCTAACCAATCCAAAACAAACCAAGCCAAGCCAAATAAACCTAACCAATCAAGCCAAACCAAATCTAACAAAACCAAAATTAACCAAACAAAATTGACCAAACCTAACCTAAAACCACGTGCGTTCAGCCACTAAGGAGTCCCTAGCGATCGCGCCTGACTTCCCCCTTCCTTGAAATGGCGGGAAAATTTGTTTTTCCTTCTAACACTATTAATATTGATACTGTTATTATTCTTACTGATCATATGATTATTAAATTGTTATTAGCATAGTAATAACCTTAAAGACAATAAAATAAAACAAAAGAAGCTTTTAAAAAATCAAGGAAAGGGGGAAACAGGGGAGATAGATAGGACCAATAACTGACTCCTTGTGACCAAGTACCTCTAGAGCCATCTATGAATAAAAACAATAACTAAACTTACGTATATGTAGCCATGGCATATATTCACGGGGTAATTTTGTTATTATGTAATTATGTAATTTTTTTTTTGTTTACTCAGTGAGGTAGGGATAGCGAAATTTTATGATGTGAGTTGTCTGGAATTAAACAATGTGGATTAGTTTAAGAGGGATGGTGTCGATAATTCAAAATATTATGTGATGATGATGATGATGATAATAGTTGTAATAATGATAATAAAGATAATGATGATAATGATAACAACATAATGATGATAATAATGATAACATAATGGTGATAATGATAACATAATGATAATAATGTGAATAATAATAGTGATAACGATGGAAATCATGATTATAGCGACGGCGGTACAAATGATAATGATAATGGAAATAAATAAAATAGTGATAATGATAATGATAGTAATAATAATGATAGTGATAATAATAATAATAACATAATTATAACAGTAATAACAACAATGATAATGATAATGTTAATGAATTGCAATAATATTGATAACAATAAAGATAATGAATAGCAATAATAATGGCAATGATAATAATGTTAATAACAATAAGAACAATATGGTGATAAAAAGATAACAATGATTAAGCTTAATAATGATAGTGATAATGATGGAAATGATGTCAATGGAAATAATTATATTAG